TAGTCGGTCACATAAGGCAAAAGAATGTGACAAATGTATATCACACGTACTAAGTAATAAACTGAAAAGGCAGTAAGCCTTAGACCATCCTACTGCAACATGTAAATAAAAATGGCTCTGTAGGCTTAAGCAGCATATACCAACTCAAACTATTGGGCATAAACAGGCTTCTTGATACAAGACTCTTATTTGCAAATTTTCAGAAACATCAGGGTGGACTGAGGCCTTTGAGAGGTGAGTGATGATGAGAAGTTGAATCTAACAGGAGACACAGCAAAAAGAAACTGAAGGGCAAGATGAAGAACAGAAGGGCAACAAGAGACCATCACCCTTTGATGAAAAGAAGCAATGGAAATACACTGATTTACCACTAGACCACTATAAGCCAGGCATCTGGGGTTGCAAAGACAATCCCTGACCTCAAGGAGCTAATAGTCCTAAGGGTAAGACCTGGCATATACCCTACTGTGTGTGCTTAATTCTAATTGGGAAAATCAAGCAGGTAAGGCTTCACAAAGAAGGGAGTGATTTAGTGAAGTCTTTGAAATGTGGAGGAGGATTTGCTAAGGGAGAAAAAGGCAGTTTGAGCTAGTTATTTTGGGGGCAAAACATTCACATATTTTTATAGCTGTTCATTTGGGACTTCAAATCAAGGGCTTCTTAGATGCGGCACCACTGTGAGTGATCTTTCTCCCCTTCACATTATCTTAAATACTGAAATGTTAAAGCCCAACGTTGGAGCAGAACCAGAAGTCCCAGAGTGAGGTGAGCGTTCGCCAAATCTGCTCTGTCACCTCCAAGGCCAGCTAGCCCAGCTACCCCATTCCTGCTTTCCTGGCAGCTAGGAAAAGAAGGCTAATTATATTCACTAGAAGAGATAGGCTGAGGGAAAAATCTGGATGCAGCAAGCAAGGAATACACTGTTCTGCCACTAAGCCACCATAGGAGAGCTTTCCTACCTCCCAAGTCATGAGGAACCTAGTTTACCTGTGACAATGTGGCCAGCCATGCAGCGGGTGGGGAAGGAGAGATTTCATGAAAAGGAAGGGGGAAGCACTGTATTAGGAAGTGCTGAGGTATTAAGTGAGATGATCTTAATAAAATGCTTAGCAAGATCCCTGACACACAGCAAGTACTGGATGAATGTCAGCTCTTATTAATATCACATTTTATTACAGTAACACCTCAACTGTACTCCGACAATAAGATATTCTTCCTGCAGCCCACTTTATGACGTTTTAGAGCAACTCCGCTAAACACATGACAAGTGTTTTTTCGAAAATATTTAAAGGTTTGAGATCAGATTCCATCTCCACTGGCCTTAAGAGCCCAAGCACCTGAGTTCGACAATCATCCCTGCCACTGGTCAGCCCCGTGACCTTGGGCCCAGCACTTCACCAATCGGTGCCTCAGTTTCCTCGGCTGTGAAGTGCGGCTAAGGAGCCCTCTCCCCGCAGGGCGGTCGTGGGGTCCCAGCAGTGGCCACCCCCTGCTGCTTCGGGGCAGCACAGGGCAGGGCGAGCCAGGCCCCTCTTCCGTGCCCCCCCCCTCCCGCTCTAAGGCGGCCGGAGCAGATGGATGCCCAGTCCGGGGAGACCGCCGAGCTCTGCCGCCTGCAGAACGCGAGCAAGAAATGGGGTGGCCCTGCAGGGGTCCCTGGGACTGTGGGTGTCGGAAGAAGGCTCGACCCGAGTCGTTCACACGCTGTCGCCCGCGGGCAGGGCGCGGGGAGCCGCGGCGGGAGGGCGGGCTGACCCGGGGAGGGGCGGAGAGTAGGGGGCCGGAGTTGGTCGGCTGGCATTGCAGACCCCGGGCCCTGTCGACGGCGAAAACCCGGAGCCGAGGGCAGGGAGAAGGAGCGACGCCCCCGCGCACAGCGCCGCGCGCCGGGGGCGGGTAGGGCTGAGGCGCTCACTCACCTGAGGCGCGGACGCCGCGGTCAGTGCAGCAGTAAGCAGCAGCAAGCAGCAGCGGCAGCGGTGAGGGGTGGGAGGAGGAGCGCGACGGGCGCGCAGGCGCACTGAGGATGCCAGGGCTACGCAGGCGCACTACGCTCGCCTGCCGCGGGAACTACCAAGGAGATGGCGACTGAGGCGGGAGGGGCTGGCGGCGCCATACTGGGTGTAGTTTTTCTTGCTGCGGAGTCTCCTCCGAGAAATCTGAGGGGCCGAGAGGGAGGGGTGTGGAATGCTATGTCGGCACAACCTCCTCCCCTTCCTCTGAGTCACATCCTTAATAAATCCCTAAGATCCACGCGTGCCTCTTTTAAGGAGGCTTGAGGCAGTACCCAAGGTCACAAGGCCCCCAGCACAGTGCGTGGCACATGGAAGGGGCTTGGTAAATTTTTGTGAATGAACACAGTATCTTCAGAGCTAGAATTCGAGACTCGCGGCTCCTAATTCCCAATCCTCTTTTACATCCCCTCTAGAACTACCAGTCACATTATTTGTTTTTTTGAGTGCAACATGAGAGATGGAATTTTTGTTTTCCAGAATCACTGCACACATTAAACTTAATAACCCAACAATTTAAATAACACTAAAATGCACAGGACATAATCCCTCTCCCTTAGGAGTTTTATTCGTTGATCTATTATTTCTTTTAATGTTATGTATCTGGGACTAGAGACTATTCTCTGAACTAAATGAGGGCAAATTGAATAAAAACAACCAAATCTTCCAGAGGCAGTGATATTGTTATTCATCATGCACAATTCCTGAACCAAATTTGGATAAAGGAAAAACTGATTTTTGAGCACAGCTCTTTATTATACACTTAGGTTTGTTCATTAACATTTACTGAGTGCCAAGTTGGCTGTACTTCGCCCTCCACTGTCCATATGTCTATGGTTATATTATTAAACCATGCCTGAGTTCATTTATAATGACAAAAAAAAAAAATAGAAACCACCTCATAAATTTATGATAAGGACTAAATGATGCTTAGTGCTCAATAAGTATTATTTTTCTGTGTTTTATTTAGCTGTTGAGGATAAAAATCACACTTCCAATCCTTCAGTTTGAACAAGTACTCATAACAAAATATACAATATAATAAGTAAACTAGAGGAGGTGTGATTACCTTTGGAAGTGATCTATCCTCATTTTATAGGTGAGGACGTTTGGGATAAGAGAAGAGGATTCACTTCAAGCTCTGCATTCTTGCCATTACACTACTCTGCTTCTGCAGGAGTGGGTAATCAGCACCATTCTTTTCATTGTGAAGTTAGCTTTCCTTGAGGTTGAAATTTCCCTTCTTGTTCTACTATGGACAGCATAATCCATTCTTAAATCTTCAATAACTAGACATCTCTCTCAAGTTTTATCTCTATTCCAGACTTCTCTACTCAGTTTTCCCCCTTTATGTCTGACAAGACTAGTTGAATTCTCCATTTGATATCCCAAATTGAACTACTAGGTTTTCCATCTCAAGCTCTATCCACTTGTTCAAGCCTTCATCCTCAGGAGCAAACTGATAACCAGTGTTCTAAATCTGTTACTTAATCTAATCCTTACAGTATCCCTGTAATATAGTTTCTGTCCTTCTCCTGACCTTACAGGTAAGAGGTTAAATAGCTTTTTCCCAATAAGATAGGAAGTGGCAGAGCTGGGTTTTAACACAAAGGCTCCATGTCTGCCATGTTCCAGACACCATAAGCTGCAGACAGTTCTGCCCAACTCATTCACTGTCAACACCCAACACAAGCTGTTATTTCTCACCTCTACTACTTCATTAGCTTAAGTGATCTTTCATATCCACACCTTGCTTGCTTCTATTATTAGTTCTGGCCTGGCTCAGTGGCACACACCTATAATTCCAGCAACTTGGGAGGCTCCTACTTTCTTTTTTTTTTTTTAATTATTATTTTGCTTTTACTTTTTTTTTTTAGTTGTAGTTGAACACAATCTCTTTATTTTATTTATTTATTTTTATGTGGTGCTGAGGATTGAACCCGGGTCTCGCCTGTGTTAGGCGAGCGCTCTACCACTAAGCCACAATCCCAGCCCGAGGCTCCTACTTTCTTGAGACATTGAAGCAGAAAGATCAGATCACAAGTCTGAGGCCAGCCTGCATAGTTTAGTGAGACCCTGTCTCAAAATAAAATTAAAAGGGCTAAGGATCTAACTTGGTGATAGAATGTTTATGTAGCATGCACAAGGCACTAGGTTCAATTCTCAATACCATAGAAAAGAAAAATATGCTGCTTTTGCCTAAAATACTTGCCCAGTTTAATGTTTTTAACCTTTCCAAGGTAGCTATATCATCTCTCTGTGTTCCTGGACTGGGGACATAGGTTGGTAGAGTGCTTGCCTTGTATGTACAAGGCCCTGGGTTCAATCCCCAGCACCACACACACACACAAAACCCCCCCAAAAAAACACCACTCTCTGTTCCTTGTTTCCAGTACAATGCGCATGAAGGAATTTCCCTATGTTCTTTGTACTCTCCCCAGGGCCTAGAAGTGTTTAAGAAACAAATATAGGGCAAGGTGAGGAGATATCACCTCTCCCCAATGGGTGTTTAATATCTAATATTTTGACTGAATGTCTAAATGTATAAGTTTTGTCCCATTAATGGGATGAAAATTTTTAAAAAATTAAAAATAAATTAGCTATTTTATTGGTAATAAGTTCTGAGGCATATTTTCATACTACTGCTCACTTCACTTTGATAAAGAATCTTTATTTTCTGGGCTGGGGTTGTGGCTCAGTGGTAGAACACTTACCAAGCATGTCTGAGGCACTGGGTTCGATTCTCAGCACTGCATATAAATAAGTAAAATAAAGGTCCATCTTAAGTAACTAAAAAATGTTTTTTTAAAAAATCTTATTTTCTATTAAGCATTCTTTGCCTTTAATCATTTTTAGAGACTGGGGCATAGCTCCATAGTAGAGCACACTGTTAACATGCACAAAGCCCGTGGGCATAATGCTCAGCACTACAAAAACAATATTTTAAAAATACACTCAAAACATATATAAAGACAGGAAATTTTTAAATTATTTATAATTTTATAGTTTATTCATAAATACAAAGAACTACTGGGAAAGAGGGGGTACAGCTTGGTGGTAAAGCACACTTGCCTAGCATGGATGAAGCCCTGAGTTTGATCCCCAGCACAGAAAAAAAAAAAAAAAATTAAAAGTAGCACTTAGTTCCTCTTGCCATGAATTCAATGCTTAGTATATCAACTTAATGTTTAAAGCTAAAGTGCACTCAAGACATAAAAAATGAGTAGTATTTTCTTTAAATTGGACATTTTGTGAAGTGATGTATGTATCCCCATGATGGAAACAATGCTCAATGCTCTTCTATCTAAAATCCCCTTCATAGCCACACCTTGAAAACCAACCTGACCCCTTTATGACCAGAACCCACCTTGGCCCCTAAAATGTTTCATTAAACTTGGTCCTAAAAGACTTTGGTTTCAAAAGCTGAAATCTTCATACTATGAAGGATATTTAAAAGAATGGGCCACTGGTTTTGAAGGCCATTTCAAAAAGGAAGTTTCAAACATTTTGCATATTCCTGGAAAAAAATGTGTTTCTAATTTTCTTTTGGATGCATGAATTCTATCATTCAGAAAAAAGTCAAAGTTCTCTAGAGTCAGCTAGCCAGTTATCCTCCATAGCAACAGAGCTGTCCAGCTCAGACTGCTGTGCAGCTGCCACATGCTGGGGCACTCTTCCCAATCCTCTCCTTTGAGTGTCTTCTGGTAAAAAAGCTGGGCAAGATCACTGACAAGATCCAGAGCAATGTGTGGTAGACGGCTTCTGTAGGTGAAGTTTAAGCAGTTTTCGAGCAGGTGAAGTATCTAACTGTTGCATGCTTCTCTTCTCTGCAGAGGAAATGAGACAAAACTAAATCTCAGTTGAATTTACATAAAGTTTATTGAAGAACTAAGGGTGTAGTTCAGTGGTGGAATACTGGCCTAGTACTCGTGAGGCCCTGGATTTATTGCAAAAACCAAACAAACAAACAAACAACAACAACAACAACAAAAACCAAACAAGCAAAAAGCAAAAAAAAGTGTGAACACTGTTAGACAGTGAATGACATTACAATGACAACTCAGTTCATGGGGATTTAATTCTTAGTCTACTGTTCTTCTATGGAATTTACATCTAGAAATTTCCCATCAACAACCAGGCACAGGGGCACACACCTATAATCCCAACTACTGTTGAAATATGAAAGGCTAAGGAGGAGGATTGTAAGTTCAAGGATAGCCTCAACACAGTGAGACTCAAACATAAAAAGCCAGAGGACGTGGAGACATGGAGCAAGAGCTCAGTGGCAGAGCTCTTGCCTAGCATGTGTGAGCCAGTGGGTTTGATCCTCAGTACCACATAACAATAAATAAATAAAATAAAAGTATTGTGTCCATCTACAACTAAAAAAATAAAAAGTTAGGGGCTGGGGCTGAGTGATAGAGCGCTCGCTTGACATGCGTGAGGCACTGGGTTGGATCCTCAGCACCACATAAAAATAAAAAATAAAGGTATTGTGTCTACCTACAACTTAATGTGGTGGCTCACACCTGTAATCCCAGAGGCTTGGGAGGCTAAGGCAGGGGGATTACAAGTTCAAAGCCAGCCTCAGCAATTTAGCAAATCCCTAAGCAACTGAGAGAGAACTTGTCTCTAAATAATATATTAAAAGGGCTAGAGATAGGGCTCAGTGGTAAAGCATCCTGGGTTTAATCCCTAGTACCTAAATTTTAAAGGGTGGTGGGAGTGGTGTGGCTCAGTGGTAGAGTACCCTGGTTAAATCCCCAGTATAACCAAAAAAAAAGAAAGAAAAAAAGAAATTTCCCATCAACATATTATTTATTGTGGGGAGAAAAACAAATCCCCTGATATAGGTCATACCTCAGGATCACAAGCTTTGTAGGGCAGCTTGCATCCCAAAGGCCATCAGATATAGAAGAGCCTAAGCTCCAGTCCCTTGGAGACACTTACCAAGCTGTGCTGACACCTTCTGGAGGCACTGGGTACTTTCGTCCATAAATGTTTGCAGCTGTTTTACTGATCCTTGCAGCTCATCCATCTGCAGACAAAAGACAAGATAGAGCTACAGAGCTCCATGGCTTCTCTGATATTCCTCCAACCTCCCTGGGAGGCTCCTGCTCAGCTTTGAGCCTGCTAGTCTTTCAGCCTGGAATGCTTATGTTAGACAGTTTCTATTGACGCCTCCTGAGCCATTCCCTACTTTTCTCCAGCCTGCTCTGTGCCTTCCCAGGCTGACCTCTATGACCACTACCAAGAGGTCTGAGGCTGACACCTATGATCTCTACCAACAGGATGCCACATCCTCTAGTTTCTGGTTGGATGTAGTTATAAGGGAGCCCTAGTGGGAGGGAGCTCAATGAAGCCAGGATATTTATTACCCAGGATTGTTCCCGGAAAGGTCATCGTGAGTTGGCTGAATCAAGCCTTGAGGTCATAGCTCTCTCAAAGTATGTGTTGTCCTCTCCTCAGATGCCACAGTAACTGTCCTCCCTTCAGGCCAACAGGTAGGATGAGCTCAGCTACCTCTAAGCTACAGGTTACTCCACTAGCCCTTGTGGTTCTGTGGTACCCACATCTTTATCCATAGTTGCATTGAAATAAGGTTTTGGAAATTCCTCAAACTACCTTATTTCAAATGCCCATCTGCTTCCTGTTGATTCTAGGACTGACAAAACACTGTTCTCCCAAATGTCCTCATGGCTCACTTTCTCATTCCTTCAAATTTCTGTTAAACTGGCACCTTGGTGGGGCCTTTGATAAGTGCTTTATGTAAAAAACAACCCGAAACCCTTTCTGTACTCTCTATCACCCTTACCCTGCTTTATTAACACTTACCCATATATTTACTTTTTATTATTATTATTTTTATTGTCTATGGTGCTAGGGATGGAACCCAGGGCCTTGTGTCTACAAGGCAAGCACTCTACCAACTGAGCTATATCCCTAGCCCTCTATATTTATTTCCAAGGATGATGCTATAGTTGGATTTTGAATGTCCATCAAAGGCTCATATGTTAAAGCCTTGGTAACCAGCTTGTGGTGCTATAGGGAGGTAGTGGACATAGTGGGAGGGAGCTTGAAGGGATACTGGGTGTGTGCCCTTGAAGGGTTACTGGGACTCAGGCCCCTTCCTCTTGCACTTCCCAGCCACCATAATGTAAGCAGCCTCTCTGTCATGTGTTCCACCATGGTGTACTGTGCCACAACGGGCCCAAAACAATAGGGCCATGCAACCATGGCCTGAAATGTTCAAAACTGAGTCAAACTATATCTTTCCTTCTTGTAAGTTGATTATTTTCAGGGATTTTGTCACAGCGATGGAAAGCTGACTAATAGATAACGAGCAGCAAAGCTGGAAAGCTCAACCAAGTAAGACTGAGCCAACTTACCACCAGCTCCATATGATCAAATACTTTGTTTTGGTTCTGTAATATTTTCTGATAGTCAGGTTTTGTGTTAAGAACTTCACTCTGAGAAGACCCAAGATATGTTGTAGGTTCTACTTTGACTTCAGTAATTTTGGTTTCAGCTGATTCTCTAAAACAACCAAAAAAGAAAAGATTTTCAAGGAATTTTACAGTCATTTTCTGGAAAAGATATCAAAGATTATTTCTGAAAAAACCTCCCACAAGGTCAAATCAATATTTTTTTACCCTACTCTAGGTATGGGATCTCTCTCTCTTTTTTTTGGTAGTAGCAACTGAATCCAGAGACATTCTACCCCTGTGCTACATCCCAGTCCTTTTATTTATTTATTTATTTTTGTTTTGAAAAAGGGTCTCACTAAGTTATTTAGGCTGGCTTCAAACTTGTGATTCTCTTGCCTCAGGCTCCTGAACGGCTAGGAGTACAAGTGTGTGCCACCATGCCCAGATCTCCTTTTTCTTTTGCAGTAGTGGGATCAAACCCAAGGCCTTGCACATGGTTAGCCAGATACTCCACACTGAGCTACACTGCCAGCTTCTGGTACAGGCTGTCTTCATAACAGGCTCTGAAACAACTGTTCTGTATTAAAGTTTTTATACCACTAGACTCTGGGAAATGTTAAAAGTTTTAGGTCGGTTAACTCCACTGAACAGTAAGTATGAACATGAACAAAAAGGGCTATCATTGGAATAAAGGGAAGCCAAAGTCTGCTACCCTAAAGTCAATGTCTATAACATTTACCAAAAAATGCTGATCTACCTTGAGTTCATGAAAACTGATGGAAATCTTTTCAAAACTATCACTACAATTTACTGAGTGCTTTGTAGGTGCCAAATGTTGCTAGTCACTTTCCATTTAACATAACAACCCAATGAGAGGTAATATCCGTTTTCAAATGAGGAACCCCAGACTCCAAGAGAATGATCTGCCTGAGTTCACAGATTTAAGTAGTCAGACTACTTCTAGAAGCATTTCTCTTAAACTATAAACTTTGCCACAAAAGTTTTTATTCTGAAACTGCCATCTTATATAGAGTCTATCCTCATAAATAGAATAGGTGTGGGGTAAATAAGGTAACTGATAACCCCCACTCCTTTGATTAGAAAAGTTTTTCAAACCATTTTCCTCAAAGCCCCTCTCTACTGAGAGGCCATTTTTGCAATTATAGAGTCTTGGCTAACATTTTATAATTGGCTTTCTAGCTAACACTACTAGAGGGGGAAAAAAAAAAGCTTAAACTTACTTGTTTAGATACTCAATTAAATAAAAATTCAGCACTTTCCCACTTTCAAGATCCAGACAAAGATCCGGATCTTTCTTTCCTCCTCTATCACTCCCCTTGCATGTTTCTGTGTCTCCATGAAAGACCTTCAGGATGCATAAATGTATCACAAAGTTCATGTGCTCACTCAGGTCTCTTGACTACTGTATTTGGCCCAGACCCAGGTGGACAGGTGCAAAGCAGAGATGTGCCTGTCTCCCTAAGGATGTGAAACCACAGCCAAAGTCACAGGACAGAGACAATTCTGTTCTGAGACTAAAAATAGTGATGCCAACTTTTCCTTCCTTTTCTGCCACACTCTGCTTATGTCAGAGAGTACTAATACACACTTTTACAGAGTTTTGATGCGTTTACTGAACTGTGAGAAAGGATTCACCATTCAATTTGTGCTAAAAGAACTGAAATAAATGCAAATCAAATTCCACAAGGTTAAAAAGATGGCTTCCTGTTTACAGATCTAACCTGGACATGGCTTCTGGTAGTACCGCTTTCTGGTAGCGCAGCAAAAGCTGATCCCAAGTCTGACTTTCTAAAGAAAATCTACAGAATCAGGGAGAAAAAAAATCTGTTAATTTTGATCATCTCATTCATAATCACTCAGGGCAACAATAAGTACCTTAGGAATATAATCTGGTTATAAAATGTGAATAAAAAAGTCATTAAAGGATTAGAAAGCTAAACTGATCAGAGGATATTAATTTAATCAAATAAAACAAGAGTTCTTAAAATGAAATTAACATCCTTATATTCCCAGACTCCTTCCTATGAAATTATCTATCAGTAGAGCCATAAACTTTTCAATATGCAGCCTTTTAATTTTTATTGTTGATATATTAGTACTGAACACCATGTTTACAATTAATTTTCCCTAGGATTATATTCCCCAGATGAAGAATTAATTTAGACTTTCCCAAATAAGTTTCACTCATTTTTACTTACTTTGTTATATACTCCTTCATCTCAGCCACTGACTTCTCCAGAGACAAATCTGATGCTTTTCTGGAATACAGATAGGATTATGAGATTAACATGAATCTTTCAAGAAATACTTGTTTTTAATATGATGTCCTATATAATTTCTTTGCAGTGCTGGGGATTGAACACAGGGCTTTATACTTGCTAGGCAAGCAGTCTACCCCTAAGCTACATCCCCAGTCCCTACATAATTTTAGTGACATAAAAACATTCCTAACTTTTTATCTTTCACCAAATATTTGTTTTTGGACTTATATCTCACTGGTGTGTGTGTGTGTGTGTGTGTGTGTGTGTGTGTGTGTGTGTTTTTACGGTACTGGGATTGAACCTGGGGGCCTTCTACCATGAGCTTCATCCCTAGTCCCATTTTAAACTTTTTTATTATGAGACAGGGTCTCATTAAATTGCCAAAGCTGGCCTGAAACTTGCAATCCTCTTGTCTTAGCCTTCTGAGTTGCTGGGATTATAGGCATGCACCACCATGCCTGGATCTGCTCACTTTTGTCTCTTTATATTCCATTTCTCTCATCCATTCCAATTCACACCATGGCCAAATTAACTTTTCCAAAAATAGTCCTTTAATTTTTTTGCCTTGCTTAAAAACTCTGTGATTAGCTGGGTTCAGACGTTAACTACAGGTGGCATATATCTGTTTTTGTTTATTAATTTTTATGTAGTGCTGAGGATCGAACCCAGTGTCTCATATGTGGAAAGCAAGTGCTCTGCCACTGAGCCACAACCCTAGCCCCAGGTTTAGCCACAACCCTAGCCCCAGATTATAGGTGGCATATACCTATAATCCCAACAACTTGGTAGGCTGAGGCAGGAGGATCACAAATTTCAGGTGAGCCTAGGCTTAATCCCCAGTATCATATTTGAACCTTTGTGACTACACAGCTTACAGAAGAAAAGCCTGAACTCTTGAAATTGGCACTTAGGGTTATCTATGTTTTGGCTCCACCCAATTCATCAATTTTGATTCCTACTGTTATTCAATGGCTCAGCTCAGTTGATTAATTCTAACAGAAAGAAAGCAGGCACTAAAAATGCCAAAATATCGTAGATGCTCTTGGTACTCTGCCTGGCAAAGACAATTAGTAGTACCACCATTCCTGTGTTTCTACCTAGGCCTGGGAAACTGATGAGATGCAGTAGCCTGTGCTTAAATATATTAAAAGAGATGCTGTGTTGAGCTAAAATATCTTTCATTTCCTGATTAGAAATGTCAATCCTAAGGACCTATGGAAAAGTAGACCTTCATGAAATCCAAACTTAAAGTTCATGATGTAAGTCTAAGTGCTTGGCTTGTTGCAGAGCACAGTTAGCAGGTTGGGGATAACCTTGAACCTGAAGAACTACCAATTTTGGAGGTGGAACTTTTAAATTTAAATTTATGCTAATATTCTTGCTTGTCAAGATCCAAAGAACATGGTTTTCTTTCATCTCACCTGACTAGCAAAGATCTGAACTGAGCTTTTTTCATCTTTCCATGGCTGGTTCCTACTCATCATTCAGTCTTACATGTTTTAGTCCAGAGGTCAAATCATTAGAGAATTTCTCTGAACATTCTACCTTAAGTTGCTCACATCCTAAAGTCATGTATTTTTTAATTTTCTTTTTTTTATATTTATTTTTTAGTTGTAATTGGACACAATACACTTATTTTATTTATTTATTTATTTTTATGTGGTGCTGAGGATTGAACCCAGGGTATTGCACATGCTAGGCGAGCACTCTACCGCTGAGCCACAACCCCAGCCACAATATTTTTTAACTTTCTTGATCATCACTATCTGAAATCACATTTTCTCTGTATTTGACTGTCTCCTTTATTACCATATATGATTAAAAGATTATTGTTAGGCTTATTTATCATTGTATCTCCAGTACTTGAAAGATCCTGACACATACGAAAATGCTATATAAATGTTTGTTGAAAGAATAAACAACTGTTTAATAACAATGAAAAGTCCTAATTCAGTTATAATTTAGGACAGAGGGGAATTGCTCTTACTCTTTTGAATCTTCAAAACATTTTTGTAGAGTTCCATCACTTTCCAGTCTGTCTGCAAAATGTTTTAACTCCTCAGAAAGAGAAGATGCTAGAGAGAGTAAAATAATGTCATAAAATAGAAAGAATATAAATTTTCACAATGAGCTAACAAAGATACTTAAGGTATTCTTAGGTCTAGAAAACACCTTCTAGTGTTCTGTTACATTCTGGCCTTCTCATTCACTCAAAAAAGTAGTCCAAGTATGCAGAAAAATATTGTCTATTTTCTCTACGATATATAGAAAAAATGGAAGATAACTTCTTCATGTCATTTTTTAAGTGGTTTTATACTTGACTAGTGAAAAAGGAGTTAAACAGGTATATAAGTACTGATAACTTCATTTTTTTCAAGAGACATGAACTCCTGGTACTAGAAGGAAAAGCATTACAGAAGTCAGGAAATAGGCAAGAGTGTAATGAGACATAATGATGGCAAATAAAAAAATACATGCACACAGGGAGAGATGGCTCATGCTTATCTACAATCCCAATGAATTGAAAGGCTAAGGCAGGAAGATCCCAAGTTTGAGGCCCTCCCAACAACTTAGTGAGACCCTGTCTCAAAATAAAAAATAAAAAGGGTTGGGGATATGGCTCAGTGGTTAAGCTACCCTGGGTTCAATCCAAAAAAACAAACAAATAAACAAACAAAAAAAAAACATGTGCTCAAGGAAAAAACAGGTCTCTGCTAGACTTGAAAGAGCCTACTGTAACAGGTGAAGAAAGTGAAGGGGAAATGTTAATTATCCATCAAGCTAACCCGGATGTGTCTACTCTAATTATGGTGCAATTCTGAGATAAACAATCTCTGCTGACAAGTAAATCTGAGTATTTTCTAGGTCTTTTTAAAAATGAAGTACCAGGTTCAAAGCTCACTCATCTATTCTTAGTAACTTACCTTTTGCTCTAAAACTTTCAAGACTGAAGCCTTTAGTGTTCCTTAGGAAAGGTTCAAGTTTCTGTACCGAGAACTAAAAAAGAAAAGTTTTTTCAGTATAACAACAAAAAAATTTCCAGGCCAGTCCTATAGCTTTGTAATGTTTAATAAATATAAACTAAATATGATTTAATTTTTTCACCTAAGACTTTTCATATGAACAGAATAAGTCAGGAATAAAACACTTTGTTACTCAGACTACACATTTTAACTCAGAAAAAAAATCATTTAATTCACACAAATTATTTGCTTCTCTAAACTGCCATAAGCACCAGTGAACCATAGCATAAACAATATAATTAGGGGCTGAGGTTGTGGCTCAGAGGAAGAGTGCTCGATTAGCATGCTTGAGGCACTGGGTTCAATCCTCAGCACCACATAAAAATAAAATAAAGGTATTATGTCCACCTACAACTAAAAAATAAATATTAAAAAAATAATTAAACAACAAAACTATATGACATATATCATATATTGGTTTAGCATGTAATCATACCTCCAATGTTTGTAATAACTTCAACTTTTACCTCTACCCACTTTAAATTCCCATCACTTGTTGTCAGTGGGCAAAAGATACTGTACTGGGGAAATCTGTTAGCTGCTCAGTTAGTACAGCAGCAACAATGAGACTAGTATAGAGAATTTGGTCCAAAAAGAACATGCTGCTGGGGTTACATCTGGCTTTTACATTAATCTCAACCTGAGGAAAACATCTTTTAATCAGTTCATTGCGTACTAATATCTCTGAAGTTGGAACAATAACAGTTGAAACAACAAAAAAGTTGAAAGCATTTCCCAATCTCAAGAATCTCACCTGAAAACTTGAAAGCAGGAGAGCACCAAGCCGTTTGCTTTCTGCTAAGTCAACACTGATGGACCTGCTGAGCTCTAAGATAAAATATCACCACATTTAAGGAAATGCATACTTACACAGCCAGCAAAGTAAACAAAATAAAAATTTCCTCCCTTGATGCAATCCAACTTAAAGCAAGAAGGAGCTTTCTCTGATTAAAGGGAGAATTCTAATTCTTCCAGAATCCTAGAGGAATGAAGTTTTCCTATTTGTATATCCAAACTTAAAAAAAGTTATAAATATCTTTCTTAGGTATTACATTAAACTTTTATTTTGTTAAATAAGGTAGATATAAAATAACTTTTTATAATTCATTTTCACCAAAGAAAGCAGATGAGAACCTTTGAGCATTTTTATATGACAGGCACTGCAAGGTGCTTTAAAGACATTAAGAGTCTTCTTATAAATTCCACAAGCTCCATTTTAGAAATGGGGAAACTGAAGTGATTTGTCTGAAATCAGAGACTGGAGGAGTCATGATTCAAACCCAAATCTATCACCCAAATCAGTGTTTTACCCACTAGGTGCCATGCTGTCTCCCTAAAATGACCTACTCAACATGAAGAGCTAACACCTATTGAACACTTGCTATATAAAAAGCATTTTATTAAATGCCATGTATACCTCATTAAACTTAGAGGCAAGTATCTTATCAATTCCATCTAATGAAAGATAATGCTAAGGAACAAAGCTGGGTAACAGATAATTTACTCAAGGTCACATAGTGAGTTATGAGATCACATTGACTGGACGCTTTCCATAATTATGCCATTGATTCCTCAACTGCAAAATATTGTTAATTTTAATTATTTTCATTTAAAAATAATTATATAGAGCTGGGGATATAGCTCAGTTGGAAGAGTGCTTGCCTTGCATGTGTAAGGCCCTGGGTTCAATCCCCAGCACCACAAAAAAAAATAAATAAAAACAATTATATAGCTGAGTGTGGTGGTGCACACCTGTAATCCCAGTGATTCAGGAGGCTGAGGCAGGAGGATTGAAAGTTGAAGGCCAGCCTCAGCAACTTAGCAGGACCCTGTCTCAAAATTTAAAAAAAGACTGAGGATATAGCCCAGTGGTAAAGTGCCCCTGGGTTCAAGTCCCAGTATCAAAACAAAACAAAACAATTTATATAGCCAAGGATGTCTGCTTTGAGAATTATGAGAGCTACATGTCTTTTTGCCCTCCAGCTTTAGCTTGCCATTTTTTTAAATTCTCAACACTCCTCTCTTGATTCTTACTATTGCTAGTCAAGAAAAATAGGATTCTTTCTGCCTGTAACCAAGGAAACCTGGCAGGTGGCCAGGAACAACCAGAAAATAAGCAATCTTATTACATTGGTGATTTCCTGTTATACAGAGTTTTAAGTCTAAAAATGCTCTGGAATTAAATGAAGTTAGGGGTAATCCTAAGGAACTACTAATGTTTTCTTGGCACATCTAGAGAATAAAGTACATGGGCATTGAATTGGCAGCAATTTTCTGATGTGTTAAATGGCTGTTTTTATCCAGTTTCCTTCTATACATCAGACCACTTGGATGGTAGTTATCTCTATTTATTTATTTATTTATTTATTTTGCTGTACTGGGAATTGAACCCAGGATGCTCTACCACTTAGCTACATTCCTACCCTTTACTTATTATTTTGAGACAGAGTTTCACTAAGTTGCCAAGGATGGCCTCAAACTTGCCATCCTCCTGCCTTGGCTGAGATTTTAAGTGTGCCACCACGCCTGGCTGGATGGTGATATCTTAAAGTATTTATAATAGCTTAACATTTGAGATATTACTCCATTCCAAGTACATATATACTATGTTATACATCAACTCATTTAGTTCTCATACAGTCCTATAAGATAGGTATTATTTCACTCCCAGTTTACTGGCAAGGACTTTAAGGCAAAGGAGGTTAAGTAATTTGCTCAATTCCATACTAGATTTTCCATATTATATTCTGTATTTTGATGCTCGGATATAAATTCACACAAAACAACATTCAAATATGGTATCCTTAAGAACTACATTTTCATTCATTCTTTTCTTTTTTGGTGTAGGGGATTGAGCCCAACACCTCATGATCTTTAGCGAACACTTCACCACTGAGCTACACCTCAGTCCAGTCTAGATTTTTTTATGTGTATCTTCACTTTTGAGTTTTTTCCTTAGTTATAAAGGCTAAAATCAGGTATTAACCCATCCAACTTCTGTTCCACTTTAGGTATGAGGCGAAAGATACTGGAAAAACTCTTTAATGCCTATCATCTGAGCAGGGGATAAGTGTTGAATAATTAGCAATCAATCAGAATATGTACATGGTGGCTCATATGACATAAACATCAATAATACTAAATACTTAATAGGTCTGACATCAGAATTTATAAACAAAGAATATCCTTACACAGTAGGTATTATTGTCTCCATTTTATAGGTGAGGAACTGAGGCTCAAAAAGGTGAAGTGATTTGCTCAGTCACATAGCTAAAAAGAAGCAAAGTCAAGTCTATTCTGTTATACTTTGTCATTCCTGTCCTTCCTCACTGCCTCTTATCTGAGCTGGAACCTGTTTTATGTACATAGCACCCCACCTGTGATGCCCTGATGGAAGGGAGGCAGTGACTTCCGTCGGTTTATTTCATTCATACTTGCTCGACGCCAGGATCGTCTCCTGTCTCGATGATGGACAGACTGTTCTTGAACGGACAAATGAAGGGACCTCAACTGAAGTCCTTCCTGGTAGCTGACATCAGAACTTTCCCCTTTTTCTGGGCTAGAGCCAAGGTGAATTCTTTCCTTTGCTTGAGTCATCTCCAAGGAGACAGATGATTTAGTAAACACTTCCACAGGGTTGAAACTTGATTGCAATTGATGATCATGTATCTTAGACGTCACTGGTTTCTCTTCTAGCATTTGTTATAAAAAAGTCAAAATACAAAATCAAACCCATCACAACTAAGTATATGAGCAAAAAGAAGGAAAAAAGAAAACCTGCCCCTACACAGAGGCATACGCCTGTGGTCCTAACTATTTGAGCAGCTATTTGGGAGCCTGAGGCAGGAGGATCAACAGAGCCCAGGAGTTTGGGCCAGCCTGAGCACAGTAAGATGCAAGAAGAAGATGAAAGAAGAAAGAAGAGAGAAGAGGGAGGAGGAGGAAGAGAAAAAGGAGAAGAAGGGGGTGTGTGTGGAGAAAAGAAAAGGAGGAAAATGCACTCAGATCATGGAAACACTGAGGAAGCATTTCTGCAAATACATGAATGTGACAATAAATCAACCAGTATCCATGAAACAATTAGGTAATAGCTCAGAAGCCTGAACTCAAGGCAAGAGGCCTTGGACTTTCGCAATACTCACCTTTTATGATGTCTGATTCAGTTACTGAAGTCATCCTAGGTAGAAAACTCTGAAAACAGGAAAACAAAGTGATCTGTTCCTTTACATTTCAGGTCTAGTGTCACTGGGGCTTTTCTACCCTAGAATAGACCTGTGCTTCCCATCCTCTCTGAATTGCCTTCACCCACCTCCTACACAGAGTATAAAGAATAGGTCATTGCTCTCTATTCTGATCTTCTACAGAATTTATTGCTAGAAATATACATATTTCCCTATCTTCCACTAGCTAAAACTTTGTTTAAGTAGTCCCTAATTCCTTAATTCAGTTGATGGCATTAGGACCTACTCGGTCTTCCAAACTAGAAAAACCACATTATCCTTTATTCCTTACTCTTAGCTTTCTAAAAGGCATATCAGTTCTACCAGGTCTCTAAATCTTTCCTCCATTGTCACCATTACTAGTTTAGTTTTTTAAAAATTTTTAGTTGTAGATAGACACAATATCCTTTTTAAAATATATTTTTTAGTTGTAGGTGGACACAATACCTTTATCTTATGTGGTACTGAGGATCAAACCCAGTACTTCACATGTGCTAGGCAAGCGATCTACTACTGAGCCACAATCCCAGCCCCACAACATCTTTTTTATTTATTTTTATGTGGTGCTGAAGATCAAACCCATATGCTAGGCAAGTGCTCTACCACTGAGCAACAACCCCAACCCCTACTAGTTTAAGTCTCACAATTTCTGCTCTCTCGCCACCTCATTATCAGTTTCTTCACTGTTTTTTTTTCTGCATTCAACACTGGTCCAGTGCAATCCATTCTTTAAAACAACTGCAGAAAATTTTCCCACCTTTCATTCAACAACTTTCTATAAGCTAGTCCCAGCTTAACCAGTTGGGATCTCTGTGATACCCTTTCCCTGTAGCACTTTTGAATCTTTGCACACATCTGTCCTTTCTGTATAACATTCATCCTTCCCAACCTCACTTAAATATGAAGCCACTTCTACTGTGAGATTTGGTAGCCACATCCCTTGGTCTCTAGTCCTGGCTGTAAAGTTTGTTAACATATCTGTCTCCCCGGTGTCTGTCACAGACAACTGACTTAAAAAGAGGGCAGGGAGGGATACAGCTGAGAGAACATCTCTTCATCGTTCATGCTACTAGCAGCCATCTGGATGTGGAGGTGCTTGGTAAAGAGAAATGAATAGATGTCGAGAGACAACGTGGGAAAGGCAACACAACAAAGAAGGGTCCTTCAAAATCTAAATCCTCACCCTCCTTATGCCTTATCACACAGACCAAGCTAGGACAATAGCACCAATTTGTCACCTAAGCGCTTCCGATCCGCTAGGACCTGTGCCATGTAAGCGCTTTACTCACTTCATGGTCCCGCTTCATCCCTTCCCCAACTTTGGGTGCTAGTACACACTCCACTTTGGAGAGTGGGAAACGAAGGTTCGGAGGGGGCGGAAAGCCTGCCCCAGCTCGTCCCGTAGCCAGCCCCTGCGCGCCCCCGCCCCGGTCTCCTTTTTTATGTGTATCTTCACTTTTGAGTCCATAGTTCAGGACTCTAGGCCTCGGCCCTGCCCGAGCGGGAGGCGCACCCGCCCTCGGGTTTCTTTACTTCCAGAGAAGGTCGCCGCGCCCGGAGGCTCCCAGTCTCGAGCAGCGACAGCGGTGGGCTGGCTGCACACAGAGGCTGGGAAGGGGATAAGCAGGGGAGCGGTGTGCGACTTCCTGACCTCGGTGCGACGCCCATGCAGCTCGGAGCCTCGTTCCTGAAACACCGGCCACGGGTTACTCAGTCCGCGGCCCTATCTCAGCCCTGGACCCCGGTGCCACTGAGGCGGCTCTTCTCAGGTGCACCTCCGCGCGCGGTCCGCAGTCAACGTCACGGTTGCCACTTCCGAAGCTCCCGCCAACACACAGCGCATGCGCGGCCGACAGGCTCTCTCGCGCGCAGGGAACACCCTGCTGCGGCTTGGCGCATGCGTGCTGAGGCGTCGACGCTGTTGCCCGCCCCGCCCCCTGTCCAAGTTCTTCCTTTCTGTTCCGACTGCTTACGTCACCACATCACCATCTCTCCAGGTGACACGCTCTGGAGTCCCCTCCTAGACGTTCCAGTTTAAGGTGTCCTTTTTGCGCCTGACCGTCCCAGAACCCTTCTTTGATGGGGAAACAGGTCCAGATAGATACTTGAGGAAAGCAGGCAGCGCATGAGAGAGCATCAGTTGTCATGTGCTCGTCGCTAGGCCATGGTCTCCCCTCCTTTTTTTTTTAATGCATCCTTTTTTTTTTTAACCTTTATTTTATGTATTTTTGTGTGGTGCTGAGAGTCTAACCCAGTGCCTCACACCACTGAGCCACAACCCCCCCAATCCCCCCTCTCTTTATCCCCTATCTCCAAAAGCTCTCTCTCCAGGGAGAATTGGAGCTCTGAGCTTGGTTTGCCCCAGCCTATCCTGCTCCTGTTCTTGGGGCCTCTTCAAGTACTTGGCAAAGTTGGAGAACTCTTCTTTTCACCCCCATCCCAGGCTACCCCTCCCCAAACCCCTTCAAAACTCTTCTGCCCACCTGGTGAGAGGTCTTCTTTGTTCAAGCTGTGTTTTTTGTGTTGGAAGCCATTCCCTGCTCTTCCTAGCAAAATTCCCCAATTTTAAGCCTCATCTAAAGAACCATCTCTCTCAGAGCCTTCTCTGTGCTCCAGATGTCCCTTCTGCGCTCCAGGATCCCAACCAGGGCCTGCTCCACTATCCCTGTTGGTTTGGGAGGCTCCACAAAGCAGGCTGCTTCCTCAGCACCCAATGTAGTGCCATCAAAATATCCCCTTTGATGAATGCAGTCCTTTCTTTTAGATCTAAAACCTGCAAATGTTGAATTAAAAGCAGTTCACAAGGCCTGAAAAAGGAGTGGGTAAAGGCAACAGTAGCATGACTGGCCATCCTTCCATAGCAGGTGTGGCCATTAGTCAATGATCTAAGAACAGAACTCAGTGGAACCAACCAGGACAGGCCATTGAGAATATTGCCTCATGGAATCCAGAGCCATAACATCCTCTATGTCTTTTCTCTGCTCAGAATTCTCCCATGGCTCCCTTCTGTCCACAGGATGTATAAAAATCCTTTCTCTATAAAGGCACTGTGTGATCTGATGCAGCCTCTTCTTTCATCATTCCCCATGCCATAGACACCAAGCTTGTTTAATTTCTCTAGTTCTTCTCTGCTTTCTTTTCTTTCTTTTATTTTATTTTATTTGGCAGGGGGTAGTACTGGGGATTGAACTCAGTGGCACTCAGCCACTGAGCCACATCCCCAGTGTTATTTTGTATTTTATTTAGAGACTCACTAAATTGCTTAGTGCCTCAAAGTTGCTGAGACTGGCTTTGACCTCATGATACTCCTGCCTCAGCCTCCCAAGCTGCTGGGATTACAGGTGTGTGCCACCATGCCTGGCACTGCTCTGCTTTCTTTTGCAGGACTGGGGATTGAAGTTGGGGCCTCACACTGATGAACCCAACCTAATTCCATCTTAAGATTGGGAGTCATCTCATCTTGTCACAAAGTTATGAAAAGCTCATTTCTCTTTTATCATAAAATACTAAGATTTCTATTTGGCCTGACCACCTGATGTTTAAACTTGTTTGAAATTCCTGTGTGTACTCTGAACTCATTCATGCCTGGCTCTCCTTGACCAGATAACAACCCTCCTAAATCCTCAGCAGCACCTCATAAATTCTAATGTTGGAATCTCAATGTACTCTCTACCTTGAAATGTTAAGCCACGTAGATCATTAACCTGCTATCTGCCTTTGTATTTTGCTTGCCAGATCCTGTTAACTGTAAGTTCCCAAGACACCCCCCTTTGTAACTCTTTGTGCTATAAAACCTTTTACCGGGGCTGGGGATGTGGCTCAAGCAGTAGCATGCTCGCCTGGCATGCGTGCAGCCCAGGTTCGATCCTCAGCACCACATACAAACAAAGATGTTATGTCCGCCGAAAACTAAAAAAAATAAATAAATATAAAACAAAAATAAATAAATAAATAATAAAACCTTTTACCTGGAGAGCTGGGGGTTGATCTCTAGCCTGTCTTTGGGAGAGACAGTCACTGGCCAGTTCACAAGAGCTGTTTTGTGAACACAATCCAAGCTTGCTTTAATTTGATTTAAAATTGGAATCAGTGGGCTTTTGTTTGCATTGTGGTTCAACAATACATGCTTGGCAAAGTACCACTGAGCTACATTCTTAGCACTTTTAAAATTTTAGCTTGAGATAAGTTCTTGCAAATTTGCTCAGGCCGGCTCAAACATGTGATTCTTTGCCTCAGCCTCTTGAGTAGTTGTCTGCTCTTTATACTGGGCTTTCATACACACTGTTCCTCCCTCTGTACCATCTCCCCTTAGGCTTTTGCTTGTATTGTAGTCCAACACCATCCCCTTCATCTGGTCAGCATCTCAACCTTATTGTCAGTTCAGATTTCTCTTCCTTTGTGAAGACTTTCCTGGTTCCCCTGGGCTCCCCAACCCCTTGACATTAGATATCTTGTTTTCTAGACCCATCTATTGTGTCCTCAGTGCCTGGTACAGGCCTGGCTGTTATTAACCCCTTATAAAAGAAGAGATCTCTCAAATATTATGTGATATTCAGCTTCCAAGATGGCCTCAGTGATTCATTTCCTGGTGTTTATGCCCTTGTACTGTCCCTTCCCACACTGAAATGATATGGTTTGTATAGGCCCTGCGGCTCTCAACAATATTGTAGAAGCTGGCATAGTGCCACATACCTATAGTCCCAAACATCCTGTTTCAAGATAAACTGAAAAGGGTTGGGGATGTAGCTGAGTGAAGCTAGCTGCCATGTTGTGACTATACACCAGCAGGTCTATGGAGAGTTCTGCCTGTTGAGGACCTGAGGCCTCTTGCCCATAGCCAGCACTGACTTGTCAGGTATGTGAATTAGCCACCTTCAAATCGCCCTTGCAGCCCTTGTCAGGCATTCAGACAACTGCAGCCAGGGTTGGACGGTGTGAATCGTGGTACAGTGTTTGTTAGCATGTGTGAGGTTCCATTGCCAGCATCAAAATAAATAAAATGTGAATAACTGCAGCCTAATTGACATCTGATTACAGCCTCCAGAGTCCCTGAAGCAGAACAACCCAGCTCCCAAATTCCTGACCTACAGCATCTGTGAGAGGTAAAAGATGTTTAGAGATAATTAATTTCAGGACCATATCTTAATTGTCCTTTTTTTTTTTTTAACCATAATAAATTCTTTTAAGGCTTTTGCAGAAAAGCTTAATCCTGTTTTTCTTCTTGAATGCTCTGTATTTCTTACTGGTCATAACGCACCTCCTGGGAGACACTGAATCAGCCATGTAAGCAGCTTGAACTCCTGGTGGTCCCTCCCAAGTGACACCACCAGCTGGTATTCCCATCTTCCCAGGCAAATGCAGGTGGGTTGGAGTCAAGTTTCAAACCTGCTGCCCCACCCCCACCCTGCTAGAGAAATCAGAGAGGAAGCCAAGTCATAGCAACTGTTCATATGACATACTTTAT